GAAGAGTTTCTAATCAAATACTTAAAATACAAGTGCCTTGAAAGTATTTAAGAAAATAGCGATTGACTTACGTTCGGATAGTGGTGGATAAATCGGATTGCTACTTCATGCTACCTTTGGGCATACTCCATGATAGTTTCTTTTGGACTTTTTTCATACTCGTAAATCGATTAGGTTGTGGCTACCTTCATGTTGAAGTTGTACTCGCTTGATATTTGATGTATTTATATTTAATCATGGGTTAATAACAAACACTAATTAAAAATATATAATAATAATTTTTAAAAATTAAGTGGCGTAAATAACAAATTTGATATATATACCCATAGGATAGTAACAAACACTAATAAAAAAATATATAGTAATAATTTTCAAAAATTAAGCGGTGGAATAACAAATTTGATATGTATGTATGTATATGCTTAGTAAAAGGTTCTTTACTACTCAAGTTCAAACATTAATTAATGCTTATACTACTCTATTTACTTTCCTTATTAAATAACATTTTGATACCATTCTCAAAATTTCCTTGAAAAAATCAGCTCTCCTAAAATAAGCTTACCGGATTTATATTTTTTTGGTTGTCCAAAGAGGCTTAAACCCCAACTACCCTGCACCAAATACAACGAAATAAAACCAAAAAGTCAAAAAAAAAATACCAAATTAATTTTTGAATAGATTTATTTTCGATCGACGAATAAAATTGATTATAAAATATTTCAAAATATGCATAACATATCCATGAATCAAAACTTAAAGTAGAAAGCAAAGGAAAACGGAGTTGATTATTAAATCATAGAGCTCGATCCATGTAGTGAATCTTTACCAGAAGTAAGTTAGGTATTGATTACATGTTACTTCTTTTAAATATTTAGGTAGCTAGGCATGCACCAGAAATTAGTGAAAAAAATAACTAGAGAAGTACAGTTGGAAAAAAAAAACTCGTTTAAAAAAGTAGATATGAGCTTTATTATCTTAACCTTTTCTTTTATAATTGATTAAATTATTTTGCATATATCCACCTAAAAGCACATTTTTCTTTCTACTTTAATTTAAGAGTACTACATCTAATTTCGTCACCTTTGAAGTTTTACCCTTACAATTAACACATTCAATTAATTTCCAACCAAAATTGTAACAATAAAAGTAGATAGATAGATTAATTATTTATCTTGATAAATCAGGCCTTTAAACATCTTTAAAGCAATGGCATGCCATCTCCTTTAATTAGTATTTGAACACTCGATTAAGTTAGTTGCATGGCAATTCAACCTTTCAACCAAAATTTACCACGGTAGCTCTAATTATTCCTCTCATCGCCCATCGTTCTTTATTACTTAATTTCTACTCAATTAGTCTACTCCTTATCGTTTAGGTACTTTAATTACACCGTGAGTATACATAAATATAATTTTTCTTTAAAATATTAATAGCTAATTTTTTAACGTTTAAGAGTTTTAGATAGTCATATAAATTATATTTTAGAGCAGTTTAAATTTTTTAATAAGATAGTTCTTTCACTTAGTATCAACATCTTGTTGACCAAGCGGTCACAAGTTCAAATCTTACCATCCCAATTTTTTTTTATAATTAATTAAGCATAAGGTAGTGTAGGTCGAACTATATAGTTTTACTTGAAATGGTGTCTTAGAGAGTTATATAAATTATATTTTTAAGTCTCACATAACATGTTAAGTTTTTGAACGAGATATTTTTTGACAAAAAAGAAAAAAACAATTTTTAAGTAGAAAAACAAAGCATCCATAAATTTTTATATGTTTTTAATAACATGAAACTACCTTATAAATTAAAATTGACCAAAAAAAAGTGATTCGATTTTAAATAAAAAATAATTAGAAAAAGATTCAATCCAAAATTAAAAATTGAAACATCGATTTGGAAATGACTTATGTTCGAAAAAGATATCTACGGTTTGAATTTTTCTTTAGCTATATTTTGCGAGATGATTCCAAGTACGGATCCAAAAAATAAATAAATAAAGGGCAATAAAGAAGCCTATTTACACAGGGGTAGCGTGCATTGTTGGAAACTTGAATGGTATTGATGGTTTCAGTGCCAATCTATAAGAGGCGTGGTCAAGAGGAAGGACATAACATCTATTTTGGTTACAAAGGATATAGCTTCTCTTAATTTGTTCTTAATTGACGACGGTGTACCCAACTTCATTAAATAGTTATTCTTTCTTCCTTTTTTTCATCGAAAGGTCTGTTTGATCCTGAATTATCATGAGAATAGACTTGTTTTATTAAAAAAAATACTAAATATACAACTGTTAAACTATATTTATGTATTTATTCTTTTTTTGAAATAAAAATCCAACCTCTTGATTTTGATCGGACCAAATTGAGTTGGTTTAAATATGAAAAAAAAAACCCTTTTTTCCTATCAAATATAAATTTGATTTCATTAATGTGAAAACCAAGCTAGTATCATGCTTGGATGAAGGTTCAAGTTTTCTTACCAATTTGAAGTTCATAGCATTGTATATAGACAGGACAATGCTCATAATAAATTGCCCATCCATGTGCGTGGTTGGATGAGTACTATCAAACATATTTTTGATATTCTAAAAATATTTTCATCAATTAATAATTTAAAAGGACATCGTTATACGAAACTCCTATCAATCAAGTATTGCTTCTCCATGTATCAACAACAGAGTACATACAATTAGAGCAATAGTCTTTTCTTGAAAAATATTATTTTACATCTCATCTTTTTCTTCTTCTTCTTCTTTTCTTTTTAGAATAATATCGTTTTGCATATATATATATATATATATATATATATAACTGAAATTCGACCGGAAATGTTTTCTAAATAAGAAAACGCGGCTGAAATATGTTACTTGTCCAATTTGCCTACTCTAATTTGGCAATTAATTTCCCGAAAAATAAATTAAAGGAGGAAGAAAAAAGTCTAGGTCCAACCGTCCAAGTGTAGGATGGTCCAAACTTTCCAAAGTTTATCAGCCACAAAAACCCAGAATTAAAACATGCATGGTTGAGTTTTCCAAGCCAAATTCTTTAAGTTATCAACTAAATAAAAGTCAATATTCAATACTTATAAATTTAGCCTACCAAAGTCCAGTTCTTAATTAATTACGTTGCTATTTGAAAATGAGAGAGCCCCAAATTAATAATTGGTCAAAAGGAAACGTGGCATAATATTAGTAATGTCGATCATGTTTTTCACCAATATCCCTATTTAATCTTTGACCAAAGAAGCAACAAGCGATGGACATTTGAAGCGCACCCAAAATTGGTAAGAAATAAAATGGAGAGGAATTTAGGTTGCTATAGATATAACAGAGAAAAACCATGGCTTGAATGCTATCTGTTTGGTAATCTTCCTTGCAGTTAGACATAAACAAATCAAACCAACTTTCCCATGCTTCAATTGATGACTAGGTTGAAAATTAAGGTGAATGGATCGATGGTAAGACTTAGGAGGTTTCAAATTCAACATTTTTTATTTATGACAGATTGATTACTTCAACACTTAATTAAAGCGAAAATCCTATTTTTCATGTGTAAAGTTTAGAAAACCAATAAAAAATAAGAATGTTTTTGCACATATCGACATCATATACAATTCGATTTTTTTTTAATTGAAACCCTAAGTTTTTTTCTATCCAATTTAAGAGTTATATTCTTATGTTATTATTGTTTCATATTCTAATTTATCACGTAAGTACACATGACAAGCTCTAATCAACGATAACTTGTCACGTGTCATAGTGAGCCTAAATTGAGTAATTGAATTGGTGACGCAATAAGTTGTCGTTAGCTAAAGCATACACGTAATAAACTCGTCATTGGCTAGGGTTTAAAACAACAACAATATAAAAGTAGAATTCTTAAATTGAATAGAAAAAAATTTAGGGTCTCAACCAAAAAATTTCGAATTGTATGAAGTTTCAATATGTGTAAAACCAAAAAATAAAGTTTATATTCAAGCCATGTCCAAAAAAAAAAAAAATGCGTGCACACACACACAAATAATGAGTTAGGCTACAAATACACTATGAATTAGTTTTTTTTTTTATTTTAAAAATTAATCGTTTAGTTACTTATATAGCGTTAAGGTTTTGCAAAAGTTAACACTTAATAACATACATCCACATCCATGGAGATATAGTTTGAAGCTTAAAGAGAGAGAAAATAAGTAGAAATTAATAAAACGAGAAATGAAGATATGAGGAGAAAAATACATATTTGTTTTTGCGTTTGATGAGAGAGAAAGAGAGGGGATGTGTGTAAAAAAAAAATACATAAAAAAAAGATTAATTTGAGAATAAAAATAATACAACAAGAATATTTTATCGTCACTTTAACGAAACAAAAAACCTAAGTTGTAGATGAAATTAAAATATAAAAAATTAAATGATTAGTTTTTTAAATCAGAATAGCTAGTTAATTCGTTCTTTGAATAAGAGTAACTAATTTATAAGTTACTCGTTAGGCTACTGACCATGCGTTCGAGGCAATATTTACTCCTCCAATGGCAAAACATAATGAGGGTATTTGCCAGCCACAATCAAAATTTGAGGCACTAATTGTTGGGAGTTTATAAACCCAATACTAATTTACCCTCTTCCACCTATTTTTTCTTGCATAAAATTCACTCTTCATCACCTTTATCTTTCTCTATTTAATTTCCATCCTTACCCTCTACTCCTACCCATAATTAATTAACAATTAAAGAAAACCCCATCTTCTCTCCCCCACCTTCCCCCTCAAAATCACTATATAATTGCATACAAGGTAATTTCAACAAGAACGCCCAACTCTTGTTAGTTGAGGAGGATAGATACACACAAGCTAATTTAGGTACTACTTTTCCTACCTTTTCCAGTTCTAAGACTTCTAATCGAGGTAAGCCATTTTGCTCACATCTTATATGGATTAGACACCTCTTGTTCTAAATTTTGTTTTGCAATTTCTGATTTTACTGTTTCATTCATTTTCTTAAGGAAAATGAGTCAACGAGGCAATAGCCCGATGTTGGATTTGAAGCTGAACCTTTCACCACCAAGGCCTAACCAACAAGTCGAATCCCCGAATGCATCGGTTTCGAATTCGTCTTTCGAAATGTCGGCAGAGAGCTCATGTGTTTCATCGGAGCCTGAAGACATGAGTACTGTTAACTACCCCAGCAGCCCGGACACAACTCCTATGCTACTAGTTGGTTGTCCACGATGCCTCATGTATGTTATGTTATCCGAAGTGGATCCAAGATGCCCGAAATGCAAGAGCACAGTCTTGCTTGATTTTCTGCGTGAGGAAAACACCAAGAAGACAAACAAACTGAATGGATGAACATAGCTAGGGTTCTTCTTCTTGTTCTTCGTGGACAAACACATGTTACGCTAAGGTCCTTTACTCTTTTTCGTAATTTTGATTTATGTCTATCTAGCTTTACCTCTCTTTTCTTTGCGAATTCTCTTTTTCAAATTTGTTCAACGTTGACTCATGAGTTTATGGTCTTCTTATCTTTGTCCGTTGATGTTCTTGTTCGAGAGCGGTACTTTGGGTGCCTATAGGACAGATCGGTCACCTGCTGCCAATTTAGGATTTTAATCCATCACTAAAGCTGCTTCTAAATGTTTCTAGCCACATTATGATCTCTTTATAAACCCCCCCAACACCACACCCCCCCCCCCCCCCCCCCCCAAACAACAAAAAAAAACAAAGGCTGTGTGTAGCGTTTCAGCAAATGAGAATGACTATGTTTTCCATTAATGCCAATTTATATATATATATATATATATATATATTTTTTTTTTTTCTTTTCTTTTTTTTTCTTTCATGAATACATGTCAAGTTTGTTGCAGAACTATTAGGTCGGTCTATATATAATTAGTAAAATTTTTCATGAATATACCACCTGCTTGCAAAACTAAAAAAGAAAAAGAGAAAAAAGAGAAAAATAGATGATGATGATATGATGACGGCATAGCCTACGCAATATGAACAACATATTTTTGAAAACCATGACCATTCTCAAATTTATTTAGATGTCAATCGAAAAAAAGAAGAAGATATTAAGCTCGTATTTTGAGATTAGACATCTTTTAATATCCATGTGGTGTATTTTAATATCTAAAAGTAGTTATAATTACACGATAAGTTATTTTTTCTGTTAGGAAAAGATTGTGTCTTTTTATTTATGTATGTCCAACAATATTTGTTTTGTGAAAACGTTAATAACAATTTTCTCTTTTTTATCTCATTTTCTTTTCTTTTTTTCCTTGTACTTTTGTTTCTAATGACAGAGTTTCCTTCCCAAATACCATGATTATTGGATGGGTTAAGGACGTGTAGGAAAATTATTAACTAATTAATGCATATGCTTGTTTTAAGATGCAAGACTTGCTATCTAACTATTGCCATAATTTCACACATTAAATACAATACTTGGGGTAGAAAGAGTAAACACAACCAAGCTAACTTAGTTTATCATCTAGCAAATGTCACCCAGTAAATTTTGGCAATATGTATCCACATCTACACTAATTATTCAAATTGATATGAACAAGAATCTTTTTGTTTAAAATAAAAAAAATATTTAAATTAGACTATTGGTATAGCTTCTATATAAACAATCTAAAATAAAAATTAAGGAAAATTTTTATAAGAAGTGATTTTTCTATAGTGAATATTAATAGCTATTGCCGATAAGAAAATAAAGAAATTTCTAATTTCAATTTAGACTTCTGTTATGAAATTAAAAATCTCCGACAACTATTTCAATTTAAAAACTTAAATTTTTAAATGAGATTTAAAAAATAGTTTTATATTACTTTTTAATATAGAAATTGATAACTTTTTCATTTTTTTTTTCAAAAAGTAAAAGTACAACTCTCATCAGGATTGGAATTGGGAATATAATAAAATCTGTGGTTGATTAAAAGTTTTTTTTTTTTTTTAAAAAAAAAGACAGTTGTGTATGCATATTTATTACGCAAAACTCTTGTAACAATGCTAACCACGTGCTGTGCTGCTTGGAATAATCTTTTTTTAATGGTGTACCTTCAAGATTATCAGAGAAAAAATTAATTTTAATTGATCTATAAACTAATTCGATAATATTTTTACTGTCAAACAAAAGAAAATCTTTTAGTTTTCTGAAATGCAAGAACGCAAACTTGATTTTCTCGAGGAAAATGCCAAGAAGAAAACAAACTAAATGGAAGAACTTGGCTAGGGTTCTTCCTATTGTTTTCCGTGGATGTCAAAGAAGTATTTCAACCATAAATGTTAAATTATATATTAAATGAAATTTTCAGAAACAACTGAACTGCCACTTGTGGCATTTGGCTCTTTTGCAAATCAATTAAGTTTGCGTGCATCCATATCAATGCTCTTAACTGTTTCGTAGGGTAGCTGAACCAACTTCTGTAATTTCCTTTGCAAACGTAAAATATATCCTAAGGCAGAAACATGCACACGTGCATGCAATTGGTTAAGATAGCGCTGCTGGGGTGATGGTGGGTGTGTGTGTGGAGAATTAACTCCCTGTAATTTCTTCCCCTTAGTCTCAGCAAGATATATTTTTCAAAGTGAAAATGTGACATAAATTGTTCATTAGTTTGGTGGTTTAAGAGCATTGAGACCCGGGGGGGGGGGGGGGGGGGGGGGGGGATGTGGGGATGTTTTGGTTTTGCAAATAAGTTAGAGACGTGACAATAAATTAGTTAAAATATAAAACATTAGTGTTATATATAATTTATATAAACAATGATCGGCAATCAACTAAAATAGTTATAGATAGTGGAAAATGTTAAAAGACAATTAAGTCGTGCATGGTAGTAAGGTACAAATTGAATAGAATGTAGATAGATGTTCAAAATCCAAACATATAAAGTTTTAAAATTTATCTCGTATATAAGTGGGAGATTTTTAAGAGCAAAAAGATAGAGAGTTCGTTAAAAATTAAAAAGTTAGAATCAGAATGCTTCCTCACAAGTTTTGTGAAGTTTGTACCTATAGTAAAATGAGGGTAGTGTTTACTTGTTAACATCGTATCACATCATTTATATTCGGACAATTATATCCGAGTTGAAAAATTCTAATCCTTTCAACCTAAATTGGTTCGACTTGTTATTAAAAATTAAAAAAAATAATAATAATAATTGGATCTCAATCTACCAAATTGATCTCTTTAATGCATTCTAAAGACAAAAGCATGAAAATTAATTCTATCAAAATACTCATTTCATCTTTGTATGGTCCAAAATCTTGTGATGGGAGGAGCCCATCATGGATTCAATTCATTTAGTGTGTAATTTGGATCCATGCTAAAATTAAAAAACAATAACAATATCAAAATTAAGAAAAATAATATAAATTAGTACACAATAAAACTCACTAAATTACTTAATTAATTTTTATTTGCACATTCAGCATATACAAGATGTTTTCATGTAAATGCATACATAGCACACTTGTTTCTTGCTGTAATATTCAAGTCCTGATCTTTATCTTGGTTTTAGAATAAACCTTTTTTCCTGTGGCCCAAACTATAATAAATATCTTTGTACTATAGCTGTGTTTATTTGGAAGAAAACTAGTTTTAGGAATTTATTTTCTTCATTTTTTGATATTTGTTTAGTGTTTAGGAAAAAAGTCAACGAAAAATGATTTTCAGTCAATAAAAAATGATAGAGTATTTTTAAAAAAGAGTTTTTCGAGTTAAAAAAGAGAAAAATATTTTTCCTCTCTCTCGCGTTACTCACTTCTTTTTCGATATATTTTAACAATTTTTTCTATCACTTTTTATTTCAAATATATCAAATTATTTTTTAATTATTTCTTATCAATTATTATTATTTATTTAATAATTTTTTCTATTTCTATTAGCATTTGATTTTTTATTTATAAATACATTAAATATTCTTAAAAACCATTTTAACATCTTAAAATTATTTTTATAATAAATATTTTAATAATTTATCTTTATTTTTTTTTACTATTATCTCAAACATCACATAAACTATACTTAAATAATTGAAAATAATTATTACAAGACTGCAATCATTTGTGAAAAATTTAAAAATAATTAATTCATTAATAAATATATTATTTTTTAAAATTATTTATTTGTAACTAAATCAATAATTCGTGACTTAATTGTAAAATTTTGTTGGTAATTGTAGTTAATAATTGGTTACAAGTAATTACAACATTAATCTTTTAAAATCAAATGAACAATTATCTATAAATGATAACTAATAATTTATAAAATTATTTTTTATACTAAATTATTAGTTCAATTTAAAAAAAAAACTGTTTTTATATTTTATTTTTTTGTATCAAACAAACACTCGAAATATATTTTTTATGTAATTACCAAATGTCAAAAAATATTTTTTTTAGAAAATAATTTTCTGAAAAATATTTTTTCTATAATTGATTTTTCTATAAAAAAATATTTTTTGCTAAATAATTGAAACTTAAAAGAACAAACAAAATTAGCAAATAAAGTAAAATAATAATAATAATAAATAAAACAAAATATAAGTTGCAATGGTCAGAGAGTACTTCTTGGCTAGTTGCTTGGCACTTATATAGTAGGTGTCTCTACTGTACTACTTACTCCCATCAACCCTTTACATTAAATTATGTCAAATCAATCCCGTCACTTCACTTTAACCAAAAGGAGACTAAACTAAATATACACGAATCTCTTGACAATATCCATAAATAACTTTTTTTATATATAAAAAATGAAAACTACTATATATAAATTCTATGCATGGTATATACATCAGGATCCAAGTGCATTTATTCTTCTTAATCGGAATTAAATATGTTATCAAATCTGTTTGTCAAATTCAATGGGCTGAGTAAATTTCAAAAATCACTTGTTTTTATTCTACATATGAGACCATCCAATCAAAAACAATTTTATAGTAACAAATTACATGACTCTAGGAAAAACAATTAACCGATTATAAAATAGATATTTTATTTTATTTAATAAATATTTACTAAGAATGTCTAATAAGTATTCTTAATGGATATTGAAGTAGATAACAGTTAAAAAAAATATATTCACTAACATATTTAGATTTTTTTTATTATCATGTAAAGATTTAATTGTATAAATTTAACAAAAGAGGATCAAAATATTTTTTTCAAAAAAATTTAAGGATAAAAAAACTTATAAATAAATGACTAAAATACAAAAAAAAAATTTTGAAAACTAAAAAAACTTTTTTAAAAAATTATAGAGACTAAAATGAATACATTTGATAAATTAAATTTAACATATATCAAATAAATGAATAAACTAATATAGATCGGGTATGAGATAA